AGACTTCAAATTGGCTTTCATGAATACCATAAAATCTTTACACACTTTGAGGACACCACTTTATGTATGGTATTTATAATATTGAGGTTTGAGTGTAGAAAAAGAAATCAAATTTTTCTTCATCTAAGGAACATGCCAACACTTAATAATTCTAACAACACCATCAAACATTCTTAATCTGATGTCATTAATCCCTTCTACAGTCAATGAACTGTCATTGTCCTTATACAATATTACTCATCTGCTTGTAGGTAGCATACCAATGCTTTGTAGATACATATGGAATGCACACTAAAATCAAGAATTTAAGAATTTTGTTTTATGATAAACACTCACATATAAACTTCCCTAGTAATATTATTATCACATTTAGACTTTTATATGTCAATGACATTCGTAGAAGTCTCCTACTTCTTTCTCTTTTTCTCTTTTAACTTAGTTCTCTCCTAAAGTGACCTTACTCATCGCACTTAAAATAATTTATCTTCTTACCACTAGATTTTGATCTAGCTTTTATTTGTGCTCTTCCCCTATTTACCAAACTCTCTCATTCTGTTCTATACTCTGAAAAATTTATTTTCAAATCCTTTAATATTAGTGCAATACTAATATCATCAAGTAAAATACTAACATTCTCATACAGTAGCGTATTAATAAAAGTCTCATAAAAAGATAATGGTGAATATAGTATAATTAATGTCTGATCCTCATTATCAATTTTGATATCTACATTATCCAGATCCATAATGATAGAATTAAATTCATCAAGATGCTATTTAATAGGTGTATCTTCATTTATTTTCAGATTATAAAATATTTTCTTCAAGTAAAAATGGTCGGTCAGTAATTTTGCAGAGTATAACTATTCTAGTTTAGTCCACATTGCTGAAGCCAAAATTTGTTCAGTAGTTCCTGCAGAACATTATCAGTCATACTGGTGAAAATAGCACAAAAGACTTTCTTTTACAAATTTGCCTTATTCGGCTCTCTCATACCATCTAGGAACCTTTCTTTAATTGCTTCCTACAAACCTTGTAAAATCAAGAATAATTTCATTTAATTTTCTACAAACTGAAGGTCCTTTCACCATCAGACTTTTCTACCTCATACTTTACGGATAATAAAGCCATCTTAAATCCCTAGATTGTGCAAGAAAAAATAAATAGAGAGAATCACCACTGTCATAAATAAATAACTACATATAGGGAAACAACACTGCATAGAGAAACACCGCCACTAAAGTCACATGCGCTACCACTGAAATCATTACCTACCATCACTCTTTGACCGAAAATCTCCATAGAACATGACGTGCTTAAATCCAGCATAGAGCTCATGAAATCGTGTTAAAACATGCCAAAAAATGTCATCGAATATTTGAAATTGCTTTACTGGCCACCGCCTCGACTTCACCCTTTTTGGTCTTTTGGTTTCGCACGTACGAACTTCAACTTCATAGATTTGACATTTCTCTACCAGCCACAGTGTCGACTTAGATTCAGACTGGCCACTTTATGCGCAGGTAAAAATTTCTGCTGCACGGTTTGTCTTCTCTAGTCATCTATTCAAATCTTGACCACCCATGCGTTGCTTTCTCTTTTACACACCACCAAGCCATACAACCAGTAGCTTCCTCCCTTTACACATATCTAAACATCGCAAAATAGAGTTCATCTCCTCCACTTCAAGCCATGCACCTACACATATATGGTCAGAGAAGGTGTTTGTCTTGTCCCTGACATTAATCCTTTGGTTCCATATGCTACTGCCACTTCAAATCTAAATAGTAACAATGTCTCTTTCTCTAACTAGCTCTGATACTACTTGTTAGAAAAATTAATCTTTAAGCCATACATAATCACAAAAAAGTATAGCAATAATAAGAAAAGACACAAGATTTAATATGGTTTGATAAGTGTATCTATATTTACGAGTAAGATTAAGAAGAAACTTTTTTACTATGATCAAAATGAGAGATTGCATCACCAATAGGGTTATATGCCCTTATGGGGAAAAATTAAGAGAGTTTTTCTCTCACAAAGCTCTTTAGGATATACATATAATATTCACATGATAAATACAAATTTCTCTAGATAAGCATAAAACATATCCCATAATATAAATAAGATATCCGCATAATTAAGCCAAATCAATAAAATTTTTGAATGTAATGTTACATGTGAGTTCTCTTGAATTTATTCTGGTGCTTAATATTTAAAAATTATTTTGAGTTTTTAGAATTTTCAAATTATTTAGTCGCTTTTGTTTTTTTGTGAATTATATAAAGTTTATAAAATATGTATTATGCATAATGATTTGTTTTGAATATAAACTTTGAATCAAACTTATATTTTGATAAAGTTTAAAATTGACGGATTTGACGAAGTTATCTACTTTGATGAAAATAAAAAGTTGTCTACTTTGACAAAATAACATAACAGAAAATGACAACTTTTAGATAAAATAATATGTGAAAAGTGGTAACCTTTTATATGAAGTGGCATGTGAAAAGTGATAATATTTTAGGTGAAAAATGGTAACCTTTTAAATGAAATGACGTAATGAAAGATGACAACTTTTAGATGATATGGTACTACAGAATGGTGGCAACCTTTCTCTCGTGGCTGCACACTCCTATAAATAAGGGATAGGAGAAGGGCGGAAGAGACATTCCGGATGAGAGAAAAATAATGAGAAACATAGAGGTGAAAGAAGAAGAATGAGTATAAAGTGTGTGATTTTTGAGAGCATTGTGAGGTTTTAGATAAAAATTTTAGAAAAACTCTATTAAATTTGTGAAGGTAAAAGAAAAGGAAGAGAAGAGGAATAAAACTCATGGTAAAAAAAGTTTATAAACTGTTAGAAAGGTAATTTTTTTCTTAAGTTTTGAAGTTTAGTTTCTCTTTAAATTTTAGAATTAGTTTTTGAGTATTTTGTTGGCTATTTTTTAATTAAGAAAGTAACCAAACATCATCTCGAAAATCTATCGGATGTTTGAGAGAAAAATATCAAAAATAAAGTTAGAACTCTACCGGAATCAAGATTACGACTATAAGTACCTAAGGTAAGTGGATATTATAGATTCATTAGTCTATATAGTTTTGAAGTATTTTATATATTTTCAATATAAAAATGTGCAAGTGTTTAATTTATCTTTTGTGTTTGCTAAATAAGTATTTGTTAAAGTTTTACTTTAATAAAATGTTATTTCGCTTTATTTTTTCGAAATATAATCTTGATATATGTCTATCACTCATTATGAAAAGGAATGTTTCCAAAGCACTTGGATTATGCTAAACTTCAATGTGACCATATATAATTGTTCTATGTTTGGGTGTATTGGCGAAGTAATAGGTGTGTACCCATATATAATCATTTCGTATTCAAGTGTATGGAAAAACAGTCTAATATGCGTGCCTTAACCATCTGTATTCGGGAAATAATAATGTTTCAAGGAACTCATGTATGTTGTTTTGTATTCAGGTATATGGGGAATCAGTGATAAGTATGTGTGCTTATACATAATATATAGTAATTAACTAATCCTCCATAATGGTGATGAAATATACACCTAAACAATTGTGAATATGTTTTTTAAGTTGTGCATTCATATTCTGATTCGTATATTTATTTTTTTAAAAAAATTATATGATATATGTTTTGTTGTGTGTAAACAAACTATATATTATATATACTATGGTGTGATTTCATAACATCATTTATTGAGATGTTTTATTTCATCCTCCCTTATCACCCTTCAAATACCGAAAATACTGTTACAGAGTAAGTGGTGATACAGAGAAAAATTATAAAATTAGACTATGACATTAAAGTTATTATTTTATATTTTTGTTTAGTAATATAAGTAAGAAAATTTAAAGTCTCATATATATATTTATGTTTTACATTTAAAAGATGTAATGCTTCTATAACTTTATTATAATTAATAAAATTAAGTTATTTTATTTAATTCGAATTTATATGATTTAAATAAATATGTTTCAATCATATTACTCTATAAGATGAGGTATGGTACGTGACATATAATGTCATAAACATATTTTTTCAAGGTCCGAAGGTAGAGATATATGTATTGTTGATATTATAGGGGTTAAATATAGTTCTAGATCTTGATATAGGAAAATATGTATCACCTACACCATATGAATTAAATATGATTATGGGCTTTATGATAGGGGTATAATTTGGCCGTACCTATTAAGAATGTAAGATTCTTTTTTCTATTTAATCTTTTGGTCAAGTTTCATATTATTATCTTAAATATTTAATTTAAAAAAGGATTTTGAAACTATTTAATGATTTTTTTTTTGTGCATTAAATTTATTTTGAGTCCAGTTAATAAAATTAATTTGATTCGACTAGTTTAAGTTTTTGGTTATTCAATGAGCTGAGTTCCCCCCATTTTTTTTTCTTAGCAGATTTTGAAGAACAAGATGCATATGGAAACTTGGGATGTGCAGGGACTTGGATTCCAATTTTGAGAATAAAAAGTATATTAATTATATTTGTATTTGAATTGAGAAATTATTTTATTTAAAAAATTTAAATTCTCTTATCTGACAGATAAGACAAAGTTTCAATTTAGAAGATTTGACCATTATTGAGTTTTTAAGACCTATTTTTGATTAAGTTTAAGATTGTTTCAAGCATTGCATATTTATTAAATTTTTCATAAAATGTCAGGTGTTGTAGTGTGTTCAATGTTGAGTTTTAAGTGTTACGATCCTTATTTAAAAGTTATTTATATTGTATTATACTCGGTATTATATATATTATAAACTAATACATATATAATTTATCAAAAAAGGAAGTTAAACGAGATAAGAATATTAAAAAAATTATCTGACATATATAATTAAAAAAAAAAAGAGAGAGAAAACCAAATCAATTTCTGTACAACTATAAAGATACAAGAAGTTTATATTTGAAGGTGCTGCATCAAATATTGGTAACATAAATAATTATGTACAAGTTTTGAATGATTCTCAAGTACCTTGATATTATTTGAGGAGGTCAAAGAATAATAATAACTCAAATCAAAGATTGTATGTAGAAAAGTTCAAAGAATTTTGTTTCTCAATCATTTTTCTTCTAACCAAAAAGATTTGCTTACAGATCTAGTTTAACTCCTTAGCTCAGTTCCCATGCCTGCCAAAAAGGTAAAAAACATAACAAAAAGTATTGAGGGAACAAAACTATTTAGAAGGAGACCAAATCTGCAGAGAAATAACAGTGAAGTTACCTTTATCCGCCCATCCGATGTTCCAATAACCAAGATGTCTTCGTTACTGTCAAGAGCCATGGAAATAACTTTGCCCATTGTGCCTGTTTGCAGTGTTTCAATCCTATTGTGTTTATTCCTATCCCAAATTTCCACACATCCTGCTTTGCACCCCAAATATATAAGCTCTGAACTTATGGCCATGGCTCTCACTTCCAGTGTACTTGACACCGATCCAACCAAACCAGAATTTGAAGCATTCCAAATCTTCCCCAAAACAAAACAGTACCATCTTTAGTTAGGAGTATAATATTTGTCCAAACAATCATGAATAGAAAAAAAAAAAACAACACTGGATATGGGTAGTTCATAGCAGAGATAAAATCAGGAGTATAGATTTACAGGTGTATATTGCTCAGGCTCAGATCCTAGTCTCAATACACATTATCTCAAAGAATATTGAAGAAAACTTGTTTCTGAATATAGAAACATAACTCTGAGACGCTGTTCATGATATGGTGTGATGGGTTATTCAAAGATACAATCCAAAAGGAGACTTGTACCTTCACTGTTGCTCCATCTAAGCTGGAGCTGGCTGCATATACTAATCCATTGTAAACTTGCAGAGAATGAACAGGGTTTGGTTTTCCTAATAATTTTCTGCTACCACTTTGAATGGTACTAAACGTTCCGGTTGCCAAATCAATTTCCTGAAAGAGAGAAAATTGTTCTATCAAGGTTTCAATGTCAATCAGGATAAGGTTCTTGTTTGGATTGTGTTGTTTGTCAGTTAAAGTGGGATGAGAAAAATCTGATACCTGGACACTATTATCATGACATCCACAGTATAATTTGCCGAGTACCAGAGCCATGCACTTGACGTGTTTGCTTTGATTCAATAGTTTGGATTGACCATTCCATGAGTGAACCTAGAAGAAGATATGGAAATCCTGAAATCATTCATGCAAACTATTTCTATGAATAAGGATTAGATATTATATGTGTATATATATATATATATACCCTGACACCAGCTCCTTGCGGAGTGAAGCATGATATGCTATTAGCAACAACCAGATTATGAACTTGATCCTTCATGTCATGTACTTGCACACAACGCATCCCATCATCTCCAATAGACCAGACCTGCTCATTATTACAGTAGTGTTCTTTTGAGTCTGAAAACAATATTGTCTAGAAAGAATTATAAGATACGAGCATACCCTTGTAGTTTTATCAAGAGAACCGCTATAAAGTTTTTCGCCAGATTGTAGTACTGCCAAGCTTGTAACTGCCTTAGCATGTTCGTGAACCTCTTGAAGAAGATGGAGAATGCTACCTCTACCAGTCCAGACCTTCAGCATTTGATGAGAGAGGATTGCCATCAAACTCAAATGGGTAGAAAAGAGAATTTTGTCATTATGATATTAGCAATAGTATAAGTATTACCTTTATGGTTCCATCTGAGTGACCAGAAAATATCTTGTCCTTGAAGAAAACTATTGACAGCACTTCTCCATTCTCACTGCAATCAACTTGAACTAGTTCTTTATGACTCCATAACTCCTGTGACATGAAAGACGAAAACACATTCACACCTTTCTGTGATAACAAATGCAATTATATAGAAGGAGAAGAAGCTTACCGCGCTAGAATCATGCCCTTCAGAAAGAACTTTCAGCATGTCAAATGCCAAGGAAGAAGATTTCCTGAGTTCCCTCAGACCCTTTATTATCTCCTTTATGTGAGAGGCTAGATCGCGAAGCCCTTCTGAAATTCAATGTCAAACATCTCAAACACTAAAAAATTTCAGGCAAAATCTAGCATGTCTATGTGTTTTGTGAATGTAATATCAAACAAAACTTGTGAATGCAAAATTCACTGTCCAAAAATAAAGATACCAGGGTCACGCATGAAGCTGTTTAGAGCAAGCAATGAAAGGGTCTTGTCTTCAATGTCTTTTGCAGATCTGAATATGGAGACGAAGTGCTTGAGTAAGCAGACTCGTGCTGCTCCTCGAATCCCCGTATCTGGAAGAACATCAAGTATTTGTATCAGCCACGTTGCTGCAACAAAAGATGCTGAAAACAGTTCGGCATTTCTGCTCTTTAAGCCTTCTGCTAGAGCTTCAAACAGCAGACCAAATTCATGGCTCACTAAAACAAATGCCATTTTTCTTTCCCAATCATCCGCAGCTTTCTCTTCTTTCTGTCAATGCAGTTGAAACAACACAAGAGTTAACTTACCAAAGTATATGGGTAAATAGAATTACACAAAAGACACAGATGTCGTGTAGCAGTTCGGAAAGAATTAACTTACCAAAGTATCTTCAGATTCTCCTGAATTGTAGCCGACCTGCTCCAATCGCATAAGAGCATTGTAAGTTTTTCTGAGACCACCACGTTTAAGGAGAACAGCCCGTGTTAGAGGCTCTCCGGAGGAAGTGAACCGTCCTTGCAGTGCCACAATAATCTCTGCAGCTGCTATCTGGGCAGCAGGGACGTTGGAGTCTTTTAGGCATGAAATGAGAGTATCGATTGCCTCTTCACGATATATGCTCATCTTCCTAGGTTCACTCTGCAGATCAAAGCACAATTACCAACCAACACATACTGATTTCTAGCAAACAAGCACACAGAGAAAGAGTCAAACCAGAAGATCAAGTTGGAGTAGTAGGCCCGCAGTTACAGGACATTGATCTCGATGAGCCTTTTGTAAATATACAAGGAGGGTGTGCATTGTACTGAATACACATTCATCGCGAATGATGTGGAGAATTTGTTCATTGAATGTCCTCCTGGTGATCAAAAACCCAGAATTTGATAAACAAGAAATTGAAAGGTCAAGATCGGCAAGGCATAGAGTTGACCAAAACATACCTATTTAATTTGACTAACTCGGATAGAAAGTAAACTATCTCAAACCGTTCTGCATCATTTGCACCCATGAAGCTCTCTAAAACAGGTGCTAACTCAGATTTATCAGCAATAATGTGTCTGCACTTTCCATCCTCTTTCATGCATCTCAGTAGGATTCCAACCGCTGCAATTCTCTCTTCTTTCCAGTCAGTCTCCAAGCTTCCAATAATACATTCAAGGCCTTGTGAAGAAATAATGTATTTGCAACTGAATATTCGATACTGTCATTGCTGATTGCAAGAATCTGCCGCAGCAAGAGCACAGAAGCTGTTTTTGGCTTCAAACACATCTTAAGCAAATCATCATCTTCATCTCCCTTCTTGATGACATCTAGGAGGGAATCCACCAAGTCCATCTCTATTAGAGTAACGGTGAAGGGTCTTAACAGATATATCAACACAACTGCTTCTATCAGCCCCTTCATAAACAGAGCCACAATACATTCTACATCAGAATCAACTTGAGTAAGTGTCTGGATCACTGTGTTGTCTCTTGAAGCCAACTCAGATAGTAGGAAAACTGCTGCCTTTAGTACCCGCAGTTCGACAGAATTGAAAAGGATCTCCACAAATCCATTAATGACAGCAGGTTTTGAGAGCATAGACTGAATCTCAAATTCCATATCAACTTCCTGCCAGAACCTCTCTATTTGGAGAACCGCCTTTTCAGAGTCCTTGAGAAATTCTGACAAACAAAGGATCATGATTGCCTGGCGTAGGTCAGTCATGGTCCCGTCTGCCGCAGCTACTTGGCTTATAACACTGACAGGAGAAGTTGCAGGCATTTTGGGGTTGGCCGTAATTGGTTCATTCCCAGAATGGTACGACACTAAACCAGGATTTTGCTCTTGCCAGCTCGCTATGAGCCTCTTTAGTACATAATTCGTCTTGGGTAGCTGCGTGCTATGAAGCTCCTGGCGGGTAATGGGGCAGGTTGAGTTGCCTCTATCCAGCCATTCTTGGATGGCCCTGCGCTCATAGGTTTGCCCTGTCTCTAGAGTGACAGGATCATCAAACAGATGGCTGGTTATGGGGCACACAAAGTCCTTTGGAGGTGTATGTTTTCCACCACTTGATGGGTTATGATCACTATCGGCCATTAGCTGATCCCGCAACCTGATGAATAAAATACATCAACATTCCAAAGATGAAGCAAAACAAGAAAACTAAAGTAAAATTACAGGGTGATGATTTTCACAATACCAGCTGGGTTCTACAGAAAAGGGTTGCTGGCTTTTGTTTCTAGATTTCTTCCTTTTACTAGACTCAGTAGACAATGCCATCTTTGTCTTCTTTTCCTACAAGAAACATTTTTATTTAAAGACTAACTAAAAAAAAAGAACAGTTGCAAATCCATTGATTTATCAGGAAAAAAAAAACAAAACTTTCTTTCTTGTTAGCATCGAATTACCTCAATTTTCGGGGTGGATTTCGAGGAAGAAAAATTCCCAGAAGAGGATCCAGCTTCGGAATCCGAATTCAAGTTCGACGATGTCGGCGAATGTCTGGAAGTATCATGGTTGTTGAAGGTTGTAAAAGAGACTCTCTGAGGATAAAATGGAGACTTGGATTTGGAGCTGCTGCCACTGGAACTGCTACAAGTGCTGCTGTACAATTCAACTGATCTTTCGCCGTCAACCCAGATTGGCTGCAGGAATCAGAAGTAAAAATCATTGACCTTTATGATCAGATGTTGAACATAAAGAATTTTCAAACTTTATCGGGTATGGTACTCGCTATCATCTAGTTTTATTGACGGCATGAAAACCGGTTTAAATTTATTAATCTATTTTTCTATTTGAAATTGGAGCACAAATAGAGGGGAAGGTCACCGTCTATTGTTTCAAATAAATATATATGATATTCAACAGCCAAGTGATACAAACTACAGTTTTTTTGAAAGAAAATTTATATGAATATCAGTCATAAAAAAAATAATATTTAAATAAGAATACATACACCCATTCAAACTTTTAATCTCTAAAATATTAACTTAAATAATAATTAATACAAAATCATAATAATGTAGGACTCTTCTATAAATTATAATAATAAAAAAAAGGAGATGCAAACAAGGAGATTGGCAAGAAATATGTTGGAGGTGAAATTATTATTATGATAACTTTGATTTATGATCCAATTGATTGAATATAATAATAAGAACATTATTATTAAATAAATACAAACATTTATTTTATATGAAGTATATTAATTTCGAGGTAACATCCAAGAAATGGGTATCGGATGAAAAAGTCAAATCAAGATGCAGACGACCGAATCAATCAGTTTATCATCAAAGCAAATATGGTATGTGTACTTTTCTTCTTTTTAAATAAATAAATAAATTAGATTCACCATAATAATTAATAATAGTAGCATAAATTCTTTTCTAAATAAGTATGTATATATATATATATATATTCATTTTATATAACCTTCAAAAACTCCATATAAAAAAAGAATATATTCTTTTGTATTTGAATGTAATTTTACGAACTAAACTGAATGTAAAAGAAATAATCTGAAACCAAAGTACAATTACATTATACCGTCCGTTTTCAAGTTCAATCTCTTCCGTTTTGATTTTCTCATCATTTTCTTCACTGTACTCCAAATTCTTACTCATGTCTATCTTTTTGAGCACTGGCGATGGCGGAATAATGGAGCTGTCTCCGCCATTGTACTTATTCTCCAATACCTCTTTGAAATATAGAGCAAGAACCCTACAGTTCTCGTCAATAGCCTCTTCGTAACTTCTCTCCAACTCTTTCAACCTCGAAGCCTGGTCTTCGCTCATTTTCGACAATAACTTATCGCACGGAACAATCACCGATGGTAAATCAAAATGTTCGTCGATCTCGTAACCCGAAATGGATGGACCAGAGGACAAGATTCTGTCTCTTTCTTCGTTGAACCACTGAAGAACAGGTAGGAGATGAATCAAAAACAGCTCTTCGAAAAGGCATGGACTGATATCTGTTCGGGCCAGAGAGGGATCTAGATAGAAAATTCGAAGCAGAGTGAGGGAGGCGTCGGTGGGTCGGTGGCGGAGAAAGTGAAGAAGAGAAAGTAGAAAGGAGGAGAGGGGAGTTTCGGCGGAAGAGAGGAGGAGCCTTTCCGCGATGTCGAGGGAGGAGAGTTGAATGGAGAAACTGTTAGCGGCGGAGATGGCGTTTTGTAATGCCTTTGCGGCAAGTTTTACTGGCTTGAGGGCGGTGGTGGATTGGCCAGGGTTGTCGGAGGTTCGGATGGTGCGGCGGAGAGTGGAGAGAAGGCGGCGGCAGAGGTCGGGTTTAGAGACGAGGTTGGAAATGAAGGTGGTGGTGCGGTTGAGAATATCGGCGGAGGAGGTCTCTGTCATGATGGTGGAGACGAAGTGTGGAAAGATTAGAGAAGGGTTTGGTCATTGGTGGCCGTTGGCGTTGGGTTTTTGTTTGAGGGAGAAGCTGTCGTGTCAACGGAAATACCCGCTTGCGTACTGGCACGAAATTGATAGGACGGCCAATGTTAAATGACCAATTTGACCTTATTCCTCACCTGAAAATTTTATAAAATTGAGAAATGAAATTATTGTATATTAATTGGAATAATCGGCTTTAATTTGTCTCAATGTAAAGATACATTGATCTCATTATTTTATTGTTCAGATTAAAAAATAATAATTTTAAATTGAATTATTTTTATTTAGGAAAAGAAGGAGTAGAGGGGTAAAAAAGTAAATGCCTTGTTTTGAATTAACGCGGGGTAGTGCGCCGTCCAGCCGGCATGGCCGGTTTTGACTAAATCTTATTTTTCTCCCAGGCAGCTGCTCCACATTTAAGTTCATAATTAATTATGTGCCAAAACAGAGTTGATATTAGAATGGAGAAGAGAGTAAAGCGACGAATCTGATGAGAAGATCAACTGCGTTTTGAGCCACCAAAGAGCCCAAAACGGCAGCTTCACTGGATAGGGGAGAGCATCGTCCACTTCTTTCTTTCTGCTAGAGAGAGACCGAAGTTAGAATTGGAGAGATTGTAATTTCAGTTTCTCGACCACTCCTGCGCAAAATCTTCGTCCCATCAAGAAAAGTGTATTAATGAAATATATATTCCATAATTTAATATAATATTTGAAATTGTTTAAATCAACACAGTCAATATATCTTTGAACAAGTCATTATCCCCAACAATTTGTATAATAATACCTTTAAATAAATACTGAGGTGAAGAACAATGTGGACATTAAATTTTTAAAGGATATATACTTGATAACCTCCTGTGTTTTTTAAAAAATTATTTCATTAAAATTATTCTCAACAATTTAACAATTCAAAGAACTCCTTTGTTACCAAGAATTTTTCTACAGGAATAAGCATTTCTTCATGTAACCATTTGAAACACCTTAATGCTCCAGCAGTATTGAGTTGGTAGGATTCAACTTTTTTTTTTTTTTTTTCCTTTAAATATGTAGAATTTTGTTTTAAATTGTTGGATTAGATAGTTAAATATTTATTTATTCTTAATTAAAGTGATCATAATTTTCATAATATGAAATTATTTCAAAAGTACTCTTAAGTTTAAAAAAAAAAAAGAAACTAAAGAGAACGTATTGCATAAATGAACTCATATCACTACTCTCTTTACACTTGAAAAAGAAGAGGATATATGATACCACGTGGAAATAAAGTAATCTTGTCTTGATATGTTGGAATAGAATTCTTGTCATGAAGATGGGGTATTGAAGAAAAAAAGGAGAAAAATCTTTGAATGCATGATATTTGTGCACGCAGACATCAACACATATAATTGTGTATAAAGAGAAAATTATTTTAATTCGACGGTAAACACTAGGTCTTAACGTTGTACTTTATTGTTAAGATTTGTCTACCAATCTTAATTTGTAGATTCTTCTTTTTTTCTTTTTAAATTACTTTTATTTTATCTTAATCTTTTGAGAAAAGATGAAAAGACATGTACAAAATACAACACCACCTTTGGTAAATGAATGAGTTATACATATATATATATTTCTTGCTGTACTTTTTTAATTATTACCTTATTGGAAAATAAACTTCAAGTAGTTTAAAAATTAAATATTTTATGTATAGTTTATCACTATACTAAACCCGCAATAAGATTATGCATGACTATTAACTGGCTTTTGTAACAGTATCCTATCTAATAATGTGTTAGCATTGATGTTTTTGCACTAAGTATTAATGATGTATTAAACCCACTTATAATACAAGATGTAAGAATACCATTGGGAGACTAAACTTCAGAGATGAAAATTATCATAAAAAAAAACTTTCATGTTCAATCATCAATATAAATATAAGAATAAAAGCTTATCTATATTCATAAGTAATATCATTATGTGTTGGTTTTGTGACTTTTGGTCTTTTAAATTGATAAATAAAGAATTCTGAATAGAGAATAAGAAAGAATTTTTCCTTCAACTTTTCTCTACAACTCTTTTTTTCTCTCTTGCAAATGATAGAAATTTAAATAAGAGCAACTCCATTTATAACTTTAGAACTACAATCATTTTTAATTTCTAACATTTCTTAATTTTAATTTAGTTTATCATAAAATTAAAAACTCGACTTTAATATTTACTTATAATTAAATTTTATACGTTATGAGACATTATTAAGTATACACCATATACTTTATTTGTTCACTTTAATTACGTTTTATCTTTATTATTAAATATATGTATGTTCACTAATATATCATATATTACATTCAATACGAGATAATTCATCTTTTTACTTATAGATAATGTTAACTCATCTATAAATATGGATATATATATATATACATATATATATTGTCTCAATGTAAGTAGGCACATAAACTTGTCATAATAACCACCTATTAGAGCAATTATACAACCAACCACCACAGGAATACTCTAAGAGTCCTAATCTCTTGCATTACTTTTATACACATATACCCAACAAGTATATTAGCATGATATATCAATCATAGTTAAAGTTGATAAAGAAAAGGTTCAATTTGATAATGGTTTGTGATAACTATTTGACTCTAGGTTATGTGAGAATTTGTGGATAAATCAACTGGTTAAATGTTAATCTTATGAGGATTGAAATCGCATAGAACATTTTGTGTGTATACATATGATTGGATATATCATTATGTGAAACGTCTTCTATATCATATCTAAGTCAATTATGTTAGAATTTATTCATTATTATTTTATGTTTTATTTGCGACATATTTTACATGAATAAGTTAGTATTTTATTGTAATATTATATTCTTATTTTACTAATAAAATTGATTTTATTTTCAAAAATAGATATTTCCTTTAAAAAATATAAAATGAGAAGATATTTGTAGTTCTTTAGGTACAAACCTACTGAATAATTTATATGAAAAAATATTAAAGCATTCAAAGATACAAGTGAGTTAAAAAAACTTAATAAATTTGATTGGTAAACTTTATTTTGTTTTGGAGTTTAATAATTACTCAATTTATATAGAAAATTGAGACTTGTCCTCTTCTCTTTATTTCCCCTTCTTTGTTAATTGATTTATATTCTTTTAAATTTTTTTATGTGAAACAAAATTAACATTTCAATGCAATACAAGTAACGTTTATTCCTTTGGGCTTCAATTTGGTAATTGGAAAAGATACTAACATTAAAATTTAGAGAAATTTATAATTAAGAAATGTATTTTTAAAAGTACATTTTAAGGAGTTACTTATAAAATATAAATAAGAAATAAATTTTAATGATTTTAAAAGATCACCCTTAGGAGAGGGATCTTCAACTAGAAAGTGAGTAGTGGTCCAACCTAAGGAAAGGCCCAAAAGGGATCATTTTATATATACATAAAATGGATATTTTTATTTAGAAATAGAAAGATTTATATATCTTCTTAGTTAAATCGTCTGAATTACCGAGAAAGTTCTTTTAGAGTCACCTATTGAGGCTCAAGTTTGTAAAGTTAAAATGTCACTAAATATATAAAAAAAAGAATTAGTAGAAATTCTTGAAAGGTAGATTATTAGTTATATATTATCTGGACTCTTATTATTGCAAGCTAGAAGCTTCTTGTAAGTGCCTATTTTGCATATTTGTCAAGGAAACAACCAATCACTTTTTCCTTCATTGCAACAAAGCCTAACTAATATATGAGAATTGCTAGGCAAGATAGTGCATTAACTGGTGCTATTTGTTGAATATTACTTTTTTAATATTCTTATAGTCTTCTCTTTGCAAGGGTCTGACTAAGAGAAATATAGTTTTTGTATTTTTTTTTTTGGATTTATTTTTTTTTTGGCTTATTTATAGTTTTTAATGAAAAATTCTTCTAATATAGGAAATATTAATTTTGTATAAATCAAGTAAGCCTAATATGTTAAATCTCTCTAAATAGAGTTAATAAATGTTCAATAAATGAGAGTGATTTCTTTAATAGAGGTTATTGAGTTTTAATTTGTAATCTTTGTATTAAAACCTTCCAATTGGGTCTTCCCTTTTAAGGTCATTTAAAATTTAAAGTATATATGTCTTTTATGGGGTATGTTAAAGCCTGCAAGCATTTTAGAATGTTTAAAGGACCGTAATAGTTGGTTCAAGTATTTTTTTCTCAAAGAACATGAGAGTCTAGAACTCCAATATAGAGTGCTTAACAATGAAAAAGGCTATTTCAATTAAACTACGCTCTCTTTTTAGGATTTTTATATACCACTAGGCATCATCATGATATCTCAAAGTTGTAGAATGTTTTTAACTTTAGATCACCTTGGATTTAAATATTTGGAAGTTTGTGTAGCCTCTTGTTTAACAAATTCATAAGTATTTAACTAGTTCTATATTTTTCTTTTGAGTTTGGTAGTTATTTATTTGAATTTTTAGTTTTACAATAAGGAGATTAGGTTTATATGGACTTTGCATTTTAGTTTTCTTCTTATCTTAATACTTTCTAGTAATTTGTTGACTTTATTTGAGATTCTGTCTACTTTGTCCCTTTTTTTTTTCTCTTGAATCTCCATATTTCAAAGCAACTCTTTTCCTTGGCCTTTTTTCTTTTCTAGTAATAATGATATCATCTGATCATAATGTGATGCTAACCTCTTATCTGAAAGCTATCAATTTGTTTGTAGTAGTATTTACAATGCTTATGTTTTTTTTTTCCTTTCGTTTGGTGAGTAATTTGGATATTATAAGTCTCTTGTATTTTTTTTTAGATAAATTTTTTAGTTGTAAACTTTTTATTTTATTTTTTCTTCATTAAGACATTATTATTTAAAAAAATTAACCATTAGACAAGGAGAATATTAACATTCTCAAATTTTCTCAACAAAAAAAAAATGACATTCTCTACCTATTTCAGAAAAAAAAAAAAAAAAAACTTACATGAGTAATTATTTTCAGCTTATATTCATACAAATGTGTATGTATGCACGCATATGTTCTTTGCAATGGTACTTGAATGGCAATAATTTGATGCATATATAATACACTTCTGAATTTATAATTGGACGGTTGTTTTTATTTATTTTTAATAAAACAGGCATGATGAAGCCCATTATTTGACATGCGAAGTTTGAGGGTCACAGCCCAACATTCCCGTAGGTTCATCCACATACCTGTTATATCTTGCTTATGTTTGTAACAAGTTTATAAACTTTATTATTTTAAAATTTTATATTTAAATTATTTTAATTATAGAAGGAAGGTTTTTTTTTTTTATTTATAAAAATTCTGACATCCTAAATTATTTAAAGTGAAAGTAAAAAGTGCATTTAATTTTTTTTTAAAAAAAATTAATGAAATTTGAAATATTCCGTCTCAATTCCATCTAAATTGACATTGGAACAATTATTTAAAATTTCATTATTTTTAATAGCTAGACTTTCAAACTCATTCTCAAAATCTATTTGAAATTTTATACGATTTCAATCTTTAGATCTCTAATAAAATTAAATTAAGGGTAAATTTTCAAATAAAATTCTACAAAAATAATCTAAAGATTTAATATTAGGCCCGAGGTTTCTCTTGATGATCATTTATTAATCATCAAGATAATCTTATAATACCTACTTTAAAACATATTTTAAAGCTATCCAAATACCAGAAATGAATGAATCAATCTGAGAAATTAAGTATTACTGGTGGGTATCTTAGCCAAAGAAAGATAGCATGCAGCAACAGCTAATTAATTTATATTATAATAAATAATTAAAATAAAGATTAGGAGATATTAATGAAGAGAGAGAATAATTACTAATAACAATTGAACTAAAATTAGAGAAGGGTTTTCAACCAGGAATCGAAATTAATCCACGTGTTCTATTAATTAATTGCTAGATCTGCAGCACACACACTCACACATACATAAACCCAACAAAGATTGTGTATAGCATCATGAGCAATCAGCCTTTGATGTTTTTAGCAGAGTGACTGCTCATGATGTTATAACGTTTCATATTGAAGCTCTTCATATATTGATTGTGTGCTGCTGTGCTGCCACCAAAACGGTGCCATTCGTCTACCGGAAACCTCCCCCCAGAGCCGGAGCCCAGTAGTCAGCTCCGTTGTCACTCCCAACTTGCAGTGTGCATGATACAGGAACCAGACACAGCCCCCTACTCCTCAGGTCCTTCTTTGGCTCCTCATGACCATCCTTCAATCATTTTATTAATTAATTTAATAAATTAATTAACTAAATGTAAATTCAATCAAAAAGCCACTTCTTTGTCTCTCTCTTTCTCTATGTATATGTGTATATATGCTATCTGATTAAAGTTATAAGCCTTCACTTGACAGAAAAGATGACATTTCCTTAAGCAAACTCTAGTTTATTTATATATATAAATACACATAGAGACAAGAATTAAAGTACCTGCTCAGCAGCTCCAGCTTTCCTCTTCATGCAGTTATCATTCAGTAGCTGGATAGTCAAAGAAATTGCATTAGAAAAAAGGGTTAGCTTTTAATTTTCATTTGTCAACTTATAATATTATTTACATGCATACATATATATCTAAGCATCGCAGATTCACAGTTCTTTCTTTCTTTCTTTTTGATACTTTTAGTGAATCAAAAAGCAAAGTTTGTACTGTGTAATCATTCCTTTATTGAACTTAATGAAGGTTAAAAGCCTTTAAAGCTGCGAAACATTGTCATAATTTTAACCCTTTCTTTTTCAGATCTAAAGAGAGAAAAAAAAACAGTAAAACTGTTATCTTTTCCAGATTAAAGTTCCCCACACACAGCCCCCTTTAAAGCATGCAGTGGATCCAATAAAGCATTTATACCTGACCAGGGTCTTCAGGAAATACACAATTCCTCTCCCCTTGAACCTATATTACCAGATTTCAATTAATCATTAATCAATTAATGCATATCACATATATTAATTACTTATATATATGCGCAAATGCACATGCCAATTGCCAACACATAAGCATATGCATATATACATACACACACATACACATATATCAATATATAAATATTAAACACAGAAGCGAGAAAGAGAGAGAGAGATATTTGCTTCGGGAAGAGAGAAATCTATATATTATATATATAGAGAGAGAGAGAGACAGAGAGAGACAGAGAAATTAAAAGTGGGGATTGAAATGGGTATATTTTGTTCTTACAGACTGTTGGTGCCTAATGTTGGATGAGGCAGAGCCCAAGTACGGTAAACTGAGAGCCTGCAATGCAATATTCAAGGGGGATATTTAAGAAGAAGAGATAGGGAATATATTTAGGACTTCAATAACTAAAAGAATGTTGAAAGAAACAATAATATAGTAAGTGTGCCATCACTTTGCCTTCATGGTTGTTTGTGAAATATTCATATAAAAATATGATGCATATATATATATATAAAAGTTGAGAAGAAACATCACCTCAATTTGACTCTGAAGGAATCTGATGTACCCAATAGCTTCTAACAAGACAGACGCCGTGTCAGTCTGCAAAAGAGAAAAACACCACACCGCATCCCTCCAAAATCACATTCATATACATACATTTCCTCTTTTTATTTATACATATCTATATATATATAATTAACACCAAATTAAACCCTAGCAGTAAACAGAATATAAATTAATTAACTTATAATGTCTTTAATTAATTAATTAATATCCCTTATTCTTACATCTGCAAGATCTAACACTCTGAGAAGGCTGTACTAATTAATTAATAATCATAAGAAACTTACCTTTCCAAATGGAGAAACTAACTGGTGAAGGGCAGTAATACGGTCTCCTAATTTCTCCTTCCTTACCTGATTATTTTAAACAACAAAAAAAATTTATAGAAATTAAAGATGATGAGAAGCTGGTGCATGATTTTTCACAACCTTTTAAATAAAATGTAATTAAAAATTATTCCTCTTCCTCTCCTTTTTGGTCTGTGGATGATATAAGAGTAAGATATGAAGGGTGAAAGAATAAACAGGCCTGAACAAAAGGACAGTCGAGAAAGACAATAGCTTTACCACCTCACAGATTATGATGTGCGTTCTGTGTTGGGTTGTGCATGTGTGCATGCTGTGTGAAAAAGATAGAAACTCAAAGTATACCTTGAAGGTAGGCTGGCTTGAAGAAGCTTGAACCCTAGCTTTCTTAACTGCTCCACCACTTGCAGGGCTGTTACACTGCAGAGAGAAAAAAATTATACCCAGTAAATCAATCAACAAGAAAAAGGAAAGAATTATTTTCATGGGAGTAGGAGAAGAAGAATACATGTTAAAAGATATGAAATTAATGCATGTTATAACATATATTGATTACAGAAGCTGCTAGCAAGGTAGTATCACAAATTCATGACTGTCTTGACGCATTTTTGGGCACCATGAAGTAATTCATGTATGTAACTTGTAAACAAATCTCCAAACCCTATAATATATATGAAGCATGGGATTTATGGAAGCACTGGATATCTGTATAGATATATATCGGGTTTGATAGATCTGGCGGGAATGTGTGTTTTTTCACCTCGGAAGATCGATCAGGGGGTGGATGCCTGCCATCTGATTTGTTGTTGGTAGAGAAATCCAACATGTTGCTGCTAAAAGTGGTGACGCAGGACTTGGGGGAAGAAACTGGCATGACCTGGTGGTGATGAGACCAAGTAGGTTTTGCCTGAAAATCTTCATTTGCATGCCCATAAACAAAACTGCTTGCTGAGTTTTCTTGCTTCACTTCCACTACACCACCACCATTTGGGGGTTGATGTAATACTTGCTCCTCCCAACTCTCCAACTTTTTGGCTTGAAAATGGCCCATCGCCGCTTTTTCCTCTTCACCCACCAGTCCTCCCCTAAAAAATAATCACATGAATATGTAATTAACACCCATTTATTAATTTCTAATTATATTTTCAGTAAATACATAATACATGAAGATGGATCTTTTCTACATATTAATTTAGAAAGAATTACCAAAAATAACAAAAAGTTGAAGGTAATCCGCTAGAATATATGTCTATATATAGATGATGGAGAAGAAGTATGCAAAATATAGTGTTATTCCTCAAGTGAAATCTTATATATAAGAAAACCAGGTTATTCCACCAGTTAATTTAGGAAAAGAGTTGCCAAAAATAACAAGAGTTGAAGATAATCCACTATATAAATATGGAGAAGAATAGAAAAGTTGAGTTCTTGTCCAAGTGAAGCTGAAGATCAGAAGACCATGAACAACTAATCAGTATAGAGAGAGAGAGAGAGAGAGAGAGAGAGAGAGAGAGAGAGAGAGAGAGAGGTATTACAAGAGAAGTTGACTCCATGACTCAGGAAGCTGATCTGGGCTGCCATGCCAGGAAGGAAGAGGAAAGACAGAAGAAGACGATGAAGAAGAAGAGGGATTAAGTGTGTAGTGATGAGGGAAGAGAGTGGGAGGAGGAGGCAAGAACGGAGAAGGCGGTTGCTGATGAGTACTGGTTAACGGTGGTATAACCATCGGCCTTACTCCGTTCATATTCCACCAGTTAGGGTTTCCAGCCATCATCTGCTGCACTGGTGAGCTCTGCAAAACACCTCGATTCATGGCCTGCAAAAATCCAAGCCTTATAATTCTCCAACAACAACAAAACTATATAAACTAAACCCTCTTTCTCTTTTTCTCTTTTCTCTCTTTCCCTTTTTCCCAAACAAGGCTTTGTAGAGACTTTGTGGATGTCCTCTCACTCTTTGGTTAAGTAGGGGGAGGGAAGTAGAAGGTATTGATCATGAGAGAATTTGAATCATGGAGGTTTTTTGAGAAGCTTTGTCTTTGTTTCCTCTCTTTTCTTTATTGCTTTCCCCTTTCTCTTTCTTCCTTTCTTTTATGTTTTTCTTTTTCTTTCTTGCTTTTCTTTCTCTGCTTTTGCTTTATCTCAAAGTGGGACAGAAAAGGTGGTAGCAATTCTCGCTATTTAAGAAATATATATATATATGTATACATGAAAAAAAATAAAGAGAGGAATTTGCTAATGTCACATTCGGTGTATGATTATTCTGTCGTACCAAAACATATGTCATGCTTAGATTTGTTACGCTGTCAACAAGAGTACTATATTTTCATTTTAAAAAAAAAATTATATTTATACAATTAATTATCAGGTATATATCACATCTTATTCTTAGTAGCTACTAGTAAATTTATTTAATGAATTTAGAATTTTACTTTAATTCTTTTCACCAATACTTAAAAGAGATACATTAAATCCAATATATCTAACTTATTTTTAATAATCAAATATTAGTCAGAAAATAAAATAATATTAGTTTGAGTAAATCAACAGTATGTTATTTTAAAAAGTTCAATGCACAGATAATTTAAATTAAACTGTCAATAATTAACATATAATATTTTAAAGTATTTTAAAAATAAAAGCAAAATCAGATTAAACAATAAAATTAAGAATGCACACTTTTTTAAAAAAAAAAATTCTAACATAATAATTTTTTGAGTTTTTTATTTTCAATTTTAAGATGCTAATGCTGTTCATCTGTTAAATCTTTTATGATTTAAACCATCCATATATTTAATTTAATAATTTTATATATCCTAATTAATTATCGAACTATAAATACGAAAATGGTTATAACATCTCTCGACCAACACCGATATATATATATATATATATATATATATAACTTTATTTATTTAATATGTAATTTTCAGAATATGCTTCTTATTTATTTATACATTAAGGATGTACTATCTCCTTCACTAATGAAATTGTATAATTTATATTTAAACACTCGGCTTTTAACTTAATTAAGTTTCTTATATATAAAATTCTATTGAATATTTTGTGGAAAATATTGGAGGCTTTGATACTGTGTGTTTCCTAAAGACTTGGTTATTTTGGTTTGCTATAGAACCAAAATATGTAGTTGGAAATTTGTGGAAATTTTATGCTTCTTGCCTTACCGCAGTAATTTCTTTTTTGTGCCCCACACTAATTTGATTATTAGTGATGAAAAAAATCTCTCACCTATATGAACAAAAATTAAGTTAATTGTAATTATAATCAAACCCTAAATGTGAAGGATAAATATCAACTATTAACAATTAAAATGAATAAAATTAAAGAAAATTTAACCAAATAAATTGTAAGCTGAATATATATATATATATATATATACATACCCTTTAAACACAGATTAGATGAAAAAATCCATCAATATTTTTAGTAAAATTAACTAATTCGAAATTTAGCTAAATTTGTAAACTAACACTTATTTTGTGATATATTTTTTTTCTCCATTTACACAAGTTCTTGTGGCAATTTGACATAATTATTTATTTAATACTCATTTTTAGCTTTGTAATCCTTCTCTTAATATCATCCAACAGTCATAAATAAATTTTTTTAATTTATCTTTCAGAAAAAAAATATTAATGAGTAATATAGTAAGTAACATAACATCTTTGGGTTACCGACCTGCTTTTACAAAAATTAAGAGCAAAAGAAGGATCATAAATATATATAAATTCTTGTATGATATGTACTTGACTTTATTAGTTGGTATACTAAATATATAATGAGTCTTGTGTATATAATTAATAGGCCACTATAAATACAAAAATGAGTCACAAGGTTGTGGGTTATAATTTTGGATCGTACACGGCCATTTCGGATGTTAATAGCACTCCATGCTTAGTAAGATTACATATAATTTCTTGGTGGAATTTAGTCATTCAATTTGTCTCTTCCTAGCTAGCTACCTATATATATATATATATGTAGCTTTCTGTTTATTAATTTGTTTTAAATGTATAAGGTCCTACGTGTAATAACCATTATTTTTGTCAAGGGTATTCAATTATAAATTGATCCCCTTTTTTAATTTTTCAGAAGAAGTTAATTATATATATATATATATCATCAAAGATAATTATAGCAAGCAATACAAGCAATCATAAATACTAAACACCCAATAGCCAAAGGAAATTGATAAAGGAAACACCGTGGCCCGCAAGTGACAATATATATATATATATATATATATATGTGTATATATATATATATATACACATATGATTTAAATTTATAACTTAGTCCATCTATAAATAAAATTTAATTGATAAGTAAAATCTTTTGTTATGAACATATGTGCCTTTCAAAATGAGAATACGTTGTATATCAACCATGTTTTGGCTAAGTGGTGAATACTTTATCAGGTCTGGGTTTGAGGCATAAGTTCTACGTTTTATATGTTCTTTTTAAAAGGTATCTAGCTGCACATTATCATTTATGTGCAACCATCACCATTTAATAAAAATATATTATTGAGACTATCATAAAGTATTGATTTAATCCCTAAATTATGGGTTACTTCTATCTTAGAAATTCTTGATGTCATTAATATATTTTAAAAAAAATAATATAGAGATTTTTGGCTCTTATATTATGAGTATAATTCATTATTGTTATCATTAGAAGACCTAATAATACACAAAACTTGTTTCTAATAGTTTTTATACATCTTTGCTTTTTAAAATAATAGCTAGAATTTGTTGACTAGAGACTTTAAGGTGGCATAATTGCATTATAGGAAGATAGTCCCTAAGTTTCTTTTTCATTCCGTGCTCGAATTTTATTGCCTTTACTGTTTTATACATGTCAACGAGAGGTTTAGTGCATGCTTAAGTTTTCAATTATTTGATCATGTCATCATAGGATTTTGGGCTTTAAATAGTATAAGACAAAACCAACGCTAGTGTAGAGAATATATATAGAGTTTTTAGTTATAAAAGTTTGAATTCTTTGGAATTACAAATTTCAAACCTGCTACATCTCTTACAGAATATCTAACTATCTATTCCAATATAAGGATAAAAAAATTAAGTATTAACTAGAAAAGATGTTAAACGTTTTAGCTCAGTTAATCAATAAATCAGTATCATGCATAATTCTAGTTAAGGTTTATTCAACATCTTTTACTTGTTTGATTGGTTTTATTAAATCTCATGCAACGTCTAAATATGAGTAAATGTACAACATAATACCATAAGGTCCTTAAATAAAATGGATTCATGCCTAAATGAGATTATAAAACCATAAGTTAAGATAAAATCCATATATACATAATAGAGAAAATCTAAATAAACACTCAAACAAAAAAGATGAGTAACTAAATTTATAAAATAGACTAGTCATAAATAAATGCAAAAAGACCATTATAAGATAATAAAGATGAAAAGTAAAAAGTTATTACCCATCATTAAACATCATCATGCTAGTATCATAAACATCATCATGCCAACATCATAAGCAAGTCACATCTTTTATAGGAAATAAATGTAAGATCATGGAAGTAAAAGAGGAAGAAACTTAAAAGAAAAACATATTTTTATCTCATGAGAAGTACACGACCTTGTGAGGAGCACACATCTAATAGCGAGGAATGCACTCTTATAAGGCTATAGGTGCATACTACCCTTGAATAACTATTAAGCAAGAACTCCCAAAAACATGGGTATAGACAACAATACGAAAACTACAAAATAAGAAGATAGTAGGTATGAAAGTGATTATAAGTTTTCTTTTTAACTTATTGGTGATCTAAGCCTGCATTGTTTTAGATCTTCTAAAAGGAGCTAAAATGGTGGTCATATTAATTATTAGAGTAAGTACATTGGACTTTTAGATATTTGGTTATTTTTCTAATTTTTTTTAGGACAATGTCCTATTTATAATGTCTTGATTGAAGATAAAATTTCTAAAATTCTCTTATTTATTTAGGATTATGACCTTCTCTTTCTTTTTCATTTTAGGTGTTTTCTAATTTTATGTTTCTTTTTTAATGTAAATTCTTGATTTTATCTTAATTTTATTTTAGTTATTTTTCAATTACAACAATTTCTATTGGAACACGTCATAATTCAAGAATATATATGATATAATAATAAGTAGAGATTATGCCTCCGAATAGAAAAAAGTTTGATAGATAACTTAAATTGGTTTTCCAATAATATTTCCAATGTGCAAGTTCTACTACCAATATAGTTCAATAATCCTCATTCTTTATGACTAATAACATTAATAAGGATAAGGAGTAACCATTAAAAAACGTTCTTGTACAAGTTAATGGTTATATAAAACTTTGGTTATTTGGTAACCCCATATTATTTTAAATTGACTAATTAAAAGAAGAATTGCTTAAGGATTAAAAATATCAAACTAAAGAATCATTTAAAATTATAACCAAAGTACATGTTAGAGGAGAAAATGAAAAGAGAAATAACCTTTCAATATGCTGGCAAGAAGGTTACGAGATTCAGATACTTGACCCATATAAAAAAGAAGCAACAAACTAAAGTCAACAGAATTATGTAGCATGAACATAGCATACCTAGAGCACTAAAATAGGCCACTACACTGATTTTGGTATAAATCTTAGATGTAAAAGCAAAAGCTTATTAAATGGAGCAAATTATCCTTTTAAAGAATAAAGGGTTGCCATTTAACTTTAGACCAAAGTTAACTTGAATATTAAGTAAATTTGAGTAAAATATCATAGTACTTACAAAGAGTCAACTGTTATTTCTATCTCAATATTATAGATTCTCGTTTTAAAGTAAAGCTTGAGGGCCAGAAACACAACCATTAAAAGTTAGAAAATTTATAAATATCCATTGCCTTCTAATAACATGTTAGCCAATAAGAGTAAACTGACATAATAAAATAAAGTATGAGAAAAACAAAAAAAAATCCTCACCTTGATTAAAAAAAGTACTCTATATTAAATACACAGCTAATCTTCCTAGTAGAGAAATCCATGCCACATAAGTCATAAGCCTATACAACAAAAAGATCTAATAACATCTAGAACCTAGTCAAGAACATTACGCACTCCTATCTTAGCTAAAGAGGCAAAAATTCATTTTTTTTCCC